TTCAAGTCCATATTTAAAGCTTTTTTACAACTGCCAAGCAGTCGATTTGGCTTTTTTAAATTCTCTAGAAGCTCTAAGAGGGCAACTGAAGAGATTTTGAATGATTTACCGTTTAGTTCGTTAATGAATTTTTGTTTCTGGTCATTTTTCGAAGAAGCATTTGTTATCTTTTTAGTAATTGCGATAAGAAGGAATCGGTAATTGATCGTTTTGACTTGTTTGGTAGTTTGGTAGTTTGGTAGAAGCATTCCTACGTTATAATATAGTATTCTCCGAATTTCGTAGCATTTCGATACAATTTTCCTATATTTTGCACTGGAAACTTTCAAATCCTTCTGGATCAAAGAATCTAGCAAGGCTTAGAGATAGTGAAGATAATAAACAGAGATCGTAAAGATAAATCGTTTAATGGCAAGTAATTCTAGAGTCATCGAAACTCGAAGAAGGTAAACAAAGTATTAATAGAGAAATGAGATCGTCAAATGTTGAAAGACATGGATATATTCGTTCAGTCTTGTTTATACTTTTCATTGCGTTTTAATTCGTGAATACCCTCGTTCAAAATAAACCATATTATTCTATAAGAGTTACAATTGAAATCATTTATATGCATCCATGTAAATTATGATTACAAGTGAAAGGAGGCTACAAAATTCATTCAGGAAAACCATTCGATTATTAACCTACATGCAGCTGCAGTTCACTACATATTACTAAATCTGAAAATAGCTCTTTCCACGAAACTCAGCTTAAGACCCAACTCGAACGCTTAGGATCTAGCAGTCTTCGATCCTCAGACTCCCGCAAAACTCAACGAAACGCTGCAACGCGTTGAATTTCCTGCGGCGCGAAAAATCGTTCGGTTTTACGCGAGAAATTAGGTCAGCGCCGCTTGACCCCCTTTTTTCTGTTCTCGGTGAGGTACATACATACCTACGCGAGGTTGCTACTTTGCTGCTTGCGTCGGACCAATTTAGAAGCCGTTCAGCTTCGGCTCGCGGACTTTCGCCGGTAAAAAAGCCGCGTGAAGGATTGGCCAGATACAACGTTGTCACGGTTCCCCGATTTCTTGGCCCGTTCGAATTTTCTGAAATCGCGGCAACCTGCGGGACCGAGGGAACATTCTATCCGTGCTGCTGCTGGCCAATCGCCAACGGGACACTGCGGCATGCTCGCGCTTTTGTCCACAAAGAACTTGCTTACCACATGAGACGCTTCCTTTTCTCTCTCGTTTCTTTTTACAAGTGATACGAGTCCGCGTTTTCTTGCCTCGGGATGTTCGCGACGGCTCGCGTTTCGTAGCGTGCGGACACATTACTGGACATTGACAAGCTTGTTTTTAATGTTCAAGAACCCAAATTCTGTAGGTAGCTTGTCAATCTTTATGAAGAATCAAAATTTTATGAAGCGATTCAAAAGAACGGGATCGACGAAGGCTACAAGATTGACTGGTTTCTTTTTCAAAGTATATTAGGAAATATAAGTATCAACATTCTATTTCATGTTCTACGTACTCATAATTATAAATACAGATCCATTTACAAGATTTTTATTATGCAGTTCAGTAGATCGCAATGAAACTTCGACAATAGTTCATAAAAAGCAAATATCCCCTGTGCTTCGTATCAAGCATCATTTACATTCAATAGGGTGAAATCGTCCTCCGAAGCGAGAAACATATTCGATCCACCATCTCAGGAACCTCTGTGACCAGGAGTACGTTTTCAACAGCACGATTGTGCCCGAATAAGGAAACCATTTGGAAAAATCGGTTAGATCGAGCCAATTGAAACATGTGTTTCCCATGAACCGAATATTTTCCATCTCCCTGGGGCTTTCCTCTTCTCTCGAAGTCGCGTGGTGTTCGTAATATTCCTCTCGATCCCAACGATTTCAAGGACAGTGCGATTCTCAGAAGCTTGAAATGATTGCTCCCTAGAGAAAGAGAGAGAGGGAGAGAGCTCGAGCGGCAACCGTGTCCTGATGAGAAATGGGTCAACCAAGCTGAGGGGTTGAGGCATTTGGAGGAACAGTCCGTTGGAGGGGGTTGGGTTATGTTACAACATCGAGAGAAAAATCGAACGACCCAGTTCCGTCTTCTTGATTCGGTTGGCCACGCGTTTCACCCTAATGTTGTTCCTCCTTCCAGTATTTTTTTCTCTATTCTCTTGGTAATCCGAGCGGAATCAACGCGTTACGAGCTGGTCGATAATGCGCAGGACCGTTAGCGTGTGCACGAGCGAAATGCAACGGATCGTGTATCCTATTTAATATTCACAAGTTGCCCATCGAACCAGCACCCATGAAAATTGCATCCAATATCGCAGCTATTCGTTGCTATTTCGTTGACCTTGTTTACCGCGAATACGAATAGAATTTGATTAGTTCAGCGTACCTATATAAAAACTAGATTCCACGTTTCAACAGAGAATTTTACTGATTCGCCGTGATCGAAGTGGTACCTGAACTTTCAGTTTATTCGATGATTCCTCTCGACATTTCTTTGATCGGACATTCTCGAATTCCTCGCATTTAACCCTAACAACGCGCAGATTTATTTCGCGAGTATATTATAATTGGTTACAGCTGGACTAAGAAATCAGCGATTTGCATGATGCATCGAAGCATCAAATTTTCCGCTCCGTCTGGGACAAATTGCACGGTCAGATCGTAATTACCCGGCATAAGCATATTCGCGGCTAACTCGGCTGCGGCGGGAGGGTTGAAGCTTAATGACCCTACCTTCTATCGCGTGGGTTTCCGGTATTTGCCGAAATATCGCGTGGTAAAGTGTTACGGCTGCGAAAGCATCGAAGACAATGTTGTCTTCATTGAATACGTATCATCGCTAGCCATCTCATCATTATCTACGAATCAGGTTCGAAGAAAAGAATTCTTTGCAATCGTGCATTAAGACATACCTTCAATTACACAACAGCATTCCACCAATTTCAATCTCAATTATCACTAAATATCATAGTCACGTCGTACTTCCCTAGCACACCAAATAAACTGGTAAATTACCATATTAAACAGCCGAACCGAATAATATGCACGCGACTTCCATAATGAAGAACCTGAACACTTCGTGTCGTTCGAAGCTTAATTTACTTACTAATTATAATACCCCTACAGACATTTATTAATTACTATTAATTCGCTCTTCCTCGATGTTTTTCATAATGCGGTGACACAGGTTCCACATACCAGGTTCCAGGTTTACGATCGCTCGCGCACGAGATTTCCAGTTCGCCCGATGTAGCAGAAAGTATACACACGCGACAAATTCGACGTTATCCGAGATACTCGATAACAGCGTGGCTGTTGCGCTGATAGGGAGCGGGGACGCGCGGTATGTGTCTCTTCTGTCGGCTTTCGCGTAGCTGTTTCTTGCCGCGATCGATCGGATTTGAACGGTCCGGTGAACCGGGACGAGCGTGCCGCGAAGAGACGCACGCGGCGCTAGAAATCGCCGTGTAAATGCTAATCGAGATTACCGGCCGGATTAGCAGACGTTCCAGTCGACTGGACGCGGAAGTGGTCACTGGTAACGGTCAACGGACGAGAAACTGTACAACTTCCTCTCAGCGTACCCTCTAACGGCTGAGACTTAGTCTTACCGTGGCCCTCCGTGATCCCTTTGCGGGTGACGATTCTTTAACACGAACACTACCGAGAAGTTGAATTGACTTTTCTAAAATCCTCTATAGAAACTCCAAAGGTGCATATATTGTGACTTCAGTTGATTTGCAATTCTGTTTGCGTATTGCTAAATCAATTTCGCTAATAATCTCTCAGAGAAACACCTGTTATTTTTTTAATAATCGTAAAAAGAAGAAATTAGGAACGGGTAATTCTGACCCGTTTGGTAGTTTTAGTGTTAACTTCTTGATAAATCGTAACCTACGATTTTCTCTTATCAAAGAAAAGAGGAAAAGGTAGTGTAACACAGGATTCAAATCGCAAGGAAATATAACCACATGCCACGCAAACCTTTCCACCGAGTTACACGAGGTCCCACTTATTTGCATAAAAATCCTCTGTTCAACGATCTGGTTGGAACCGATCGCTAGCCACTGGAGCTTCATCCTCCTCGTTGGAGCCTCGGTCCAAGGACAACGGGGAGGAACACGAAGAAGCTTCGCTGACAAACTGTGCACGAGCTCAGCTCCGTTCGGTCGTTCCCGAGCACCGAATATGGCAAGCAAACGGATTGCCGAGGGTGACGATGCGGTTGAGAGGGGAGGAGGGGCAAGGATATTCAGGTGGCCGATAGACACACCGTGAGGTTTCGTCCTTCGGACCCAGACGTTTGTTTCCCCCTGTGGGTAACGCGCTCTCAGGGACGATTAACGCGGAACTGAACTCCTCCTCCTCCTCCTCCTCCTCCTCCTCCTCCTCCTTTTTCTCCTTTCTTTTCGCGATCGAGGATTTGCCGAAGTCGATCGTTGCCCTTGAGCAAACAGAGTACGATATAAGTCGCTCAGAAGCCAGTGCGGTTAAATCTATTTTTCAATATTATTGATTTTTGTAAATTTTAATGGAATAAATAATATTCTTTCGAGTTATTAAAGGATTTACTCGATTCTTCATTTTTCCTGGGTCAGAAAGCCCTATTTTCTATAACTTCTGAATATGTTGTATAATGATTTCAGAAACCAGAACATTAATTTTCTCAATATTTGTTTTCTAGACTTTACTGCATTTGCCTCTGAGCGACTCATATGAGAAATCTGGCACGCGAACTTAACACTAAAAGAAGGAATTAAGATTTGCTCATGATTATTGCGATATGTAAGTTAATCGGAGTTTGAGTGAATGCAATGTTGTTATTTGTATAAGGGAAAAATGTGTACAGCTTCAGTTGAAAGAATAATAGATTATATATGCAACCAAGATTATAGAATTATTGTGAATGTTATTATTATCAATACACAGTCGCTACAATTACGGTCTGTTTACGGGACAATTTCTGATATGTCGAATTTTCTTTTACGCAGAATGGAGATCTGTGCATATCGATCCTGCATCCGCCCGTAGACGATCCGCAGAGCGGTGAGCTGCCGTGCGAGAGGTGGAATCCAACACAGAACGTCAGGTGAGTGTCCCGATACGAGCATCATGTGAGTCGCTCAGAAACCAATACGGTTAGGTTGATTTTTTAATATTTTCTGATTTTTATACATTTAATTGAATAAATAATATTCTGTTTAGTTATTAAAGGATTTACTCGTTTGTTCGTTTTTTTTTCTAGATCAGAAAATCCTTCTTTTTATAGCTTCTGAACATGTTGTATAATAATTTCAGAAGCCAAATCATTAGTTTTCTCAATTTTTCTTTTCTGGACCGCATTGGCTTCTGAGCGACTCATGCGTGAGTAGCATTCCGTTTCGAAAACATGATAGGTAGAATAAATACACCAAGTATCATTTAACATTAAATTCATGGAACGAGCCAATTTGACTGATATCGATTTTTATAAACATTATTTGGCACTCTGAAATCTCTAATTCCCAAGACCTAAATGGACGAATATCAATTTCTTTAAAAGCGATAGGATAAATTGTACAGCAAATGTCCGTAAATCTAGCGTTTAATGATTCGACGTTTAAGAAATAAATCATAGAATAACGTCAGCTTGTCAAAGACAATCACTGAGCAGATGTTGACGATGAGAATGGTAAAAGTTACACGAATCGTAGGAGTGCATTACGCTCAGCGTGGAAATATTTTTCACTCATAAAATTTTGACAAGTTTACGGAAAGTGAGAGTCAAACGTGGAACTTGAGCGATAATTTCGGTTTCACGATGCAGGGGTACGCGAATGGTACCGCTAGACGGTCGGCACGTCAAGTTACGACCGCTGCGAAGTCGCATAAACAGTTGCCGGTTGGAATTTTTTCAAAATTTCTCGCGGTAGTCAACAAATTCACGGTAGAACCACGGGTATGTGAAATCGACTCATTCCAGGTTTCTCTCGCAAACATGATTAACACTAGAACTACCGCTTATTTATCAATCTTAACATATAATTCTTACAGAGACGGTAACAATACTTTTTGATTATTTCCAAAATCATTTCCAATACTGAATACTTTTAAACCATCAGTAATTGCAAAATAAAATCACTGAAATCCGCCATTTTGACGGGTACGGTAGTTCTAGTGTTAAAAACCTATATACACTCCTCCAAGAGACTATTAAAACATATCAATTCACTTCGTCCAACATGCAAACTGAAAAACGAATGAATCGATGCATCGACTAATACACTCAGGTAATTAATAAAAAAGAAAACTGCACTGCTTTTGCCTAATAAAAAAAGATTCAGCTGATTCTGTAACCTCTGATAAAGAGGAATTCACCTGCTCCTGCGATTTATGAAAAAAACAAATTCGACTGCTAGATAGTGGTATTAAATATTCATAGGTTGGTGTATTTGTGATACGTACAGTACGGAAGGTGCAGTCTGCCGATGCACACGCGATCATGCGCAAATACGCTGCTCGGCAGCCGTCCGGCCCCGTGTTATCAGATATCCAGGAGAGGCGAAGTCGCTCAAAAACGCTAAACGAGTTCTGGTTTTCGCATAGGACGATCCTGCTGTCGGTGATCTCGCTCCTGAACGAGCCGAATACGTACAGCCCCGCCAACGTGGATGCCTCGGTGATGTATAGGCGCTGGCGCGACTCCAAGGGTCGGGACAAAGAGTACGAAAATATCATAAGGTACGGTAGCATCGATCTATTCCATGTCCTGTCCGCTTCCGTTTGCAACCGATCGATGATCCAAATCGTTCGGCGCCATTGATCCTCTCCAGCCCAGTAATCTTCACTAATTTCACGAGAAGGGTTTCATTATTGGCAACGTTATTAGCGACATTGACACGTTGGTCGCCTAATGGACATCAATACCCCTTACAGTCGAAGAAGTTTGCTTAACACGTCAAACGCCACGCGTTAGACTTTTCGTTCAGGCGCGGCCGGTCCATGCGGACTTTAGGTTCATATTACACGACCGCGCGTGTCGGTCCTTACGCACTGATGTGAGACTAAATATTTTGCTTAGGCGACATCGGTTTTTGTTCACTCAAGGCTTGAAAAAAAAGAATATAATATTTAAAAAAAATTAATGTAGTTTATTAAAGCAGGGTAAACAGAGGTGTGGTTTGCTTGTACATTAATTGCAGAAGGTGCTAACTTTTTGTGTTAAATTCTTTGCCACCTTTGAACCTAATATACGGGAATTATTATTATAACATTGAGAAAACTCCGGTCCTCAAGTCGATATTTCGGCTCGTCCGTCAGTGGTGACGGCCGTGTCTGGGCCTGAACGGAACGACAAGCAAGTCGGGCTGGGCACTTAACGTGTTAAACAGCGAGGAATTAAAAAATCAAGATTCCTTCTAGTAACTGTTCTTCTAACACTATCCACAAGATAGATGATAATTGAGTTTCTAATGACTTACAGTGATATGTTAAAAAAGGATTTTCTTTGAAGCATAGTCCTCTGAGAATAAGTAGATTGCGTTACTCTTTATAATTTGCTGATTTTGGATTGTAATTGCTATTGTTATTAAAAGACCGATTAACCTTCTTGCTTTTGGGTTTCAACATAATTCGCTGCGCTGAACATGCCACCGAGAAAATTAGTTTATAAATCTATGTAAAACGTATTCAGGTGAAATGTGGCGAAATGGAGCTCTGTCCACTGTGAAAGTCGATTAGAGGATAGACCGAATAATTAGCAAAATTTCTTCCACGCTCACGGTCCGTTGATCACAGAAAATTCGAAGTCGGCTTTAGCGAATCGAAAACTAATTGGTCCATTGATACGAAAGATGGTATCATCGGTATCAAAGAAAGTCGGTTAAAGGATAGTCTAAGCGAGTAGCAAAATTTCTTCGTTCACGCCCTGTTTGTCGTACAGAATTCGAAGAATCGAACACAACTTCGCTATTGTTTTGTCCCGGGGCTGTCTAATGCTCGAGAGGGTTTAATGAACGTAAGAGGAGCCCTGAATATCCGGAGCCCCCGGTGATATCGCAGGCGACCGCCATTGTTCTCTACCTCGTTCACAGGAAGCAAGCACAGGCGGCTAAGATGGAGGCGGAGAAGGAAGGCATCGTGGTCCCGGTGACGCTAGAGGACTACTGCATAAAGACGCACGCGAGGCCTGCCGAGCAGCAACTCGACATGACGGACTTCTACGACGACGAGTACGAGCTGGACGACGACGAGAACGATCAATTGAGCGCCAGCGAGTACGAGGACGGGGACGACAGCGGCAACGGGGAGTCGTGATCCATTTCTTAAAAGGGACGACGAAAAGCAAAAAAAACAAGATAAATAAAATAAATGAATAAACTCGAATATTAACAAAACAACAAGAAAAAGCAACAAAAAAAATAAGAATCGCTAATTATTATCAGTTCTGTATAGATTAATAAATTAACGGGCTTCTAAACCGGACGCTCTATCTCTCTATCTCTATCTCTCTGTCTCTCTGTCTTTCACTCTGTATCTCTGTCTCTGTCTCTATTCAGACGTGCCACCTATATAAATTCTTAACATTACGCGTAATCGAAACCACCTCGTTTTCCTCGTTGACCGTTCCATTGTAGCGGACTATCGCGAGCACGAAATATATTTCAGGATGTCGTCAATTACCGCGCCGTTTCCTCGTCCTAACGACGTTTAGGTGAGACGAACGTACAGCGAGAGTTCGTCCCATTTTTAGCGTTCGCCGCCGTCGCCGTCGCCGTCGCCGTCGTCGTCTTCGTCCTCATCCTCGTCGCGCGCGTTCTCTTTTCTTTCTCCTATTTGTTCTACGCTGAATGAGAGATTCGTCTTGCGGTCTTGTGACTTCCGGTTGAACTGTAAAATTCTATTGAATAGAGCGTACGATTGTAACGGCTACACCCTTGAGCGAAGAATGTCGAAATTCTAGGATATTAATCCGTCAGGAAATGCTCGCGTTCACAAGCTGTTTAACTTAAGCAATATACGGGTGTGATGATGATGATGATGATAATGATGATGATGGTGATGGTAATGCTGCTGCTGCTGCTGCTACAGATGATGATGATGATGATGATGATGATGACGGTGATAGAAGTATATACTTCGGTTAGGAACACTGTGCTTGTTTCGTTGTGGTCGGCACGTCTATCTTTTAACTAGGAGAAAGGAATATTGGAAGGAGAAGGACCAATTGATTTACCTCGCTTAGGCGATCGGCCGTGTCGACAAAGTAAAGGAATACAAAGCGAGATGAGAAAAGTAAATAAGTAAATAAATAAATAAATAAATACATAAGCGAATAAAATGGAAAATTTTAAACGATGATTAAAGTACAATGCGACCGGGCTGGCTGAAAGTTGCGCCCGTTGTTATTATCGTGTTCACGCGTAACCAGTTAGGGGGTACATCAATTGATCCTGCGTTTCTCGAGCATGGGACTTACATTCGTAATCAATTGAGAAATCACTCCGTTTCGTGTGAATCATTATTTATGCTGCGAAACCAAAACGGTGGGATGGAAAATTCAAATGTACTGAGCGTGAGAGAAAAGAACAAAAAAACAAGATATAGAGAAGTGAAGGAAGAATGAAAAGAAACAAACTGTCGGCGACGAACTGTCGAGCAATCTTTCGCAGACATCGTCGATGATTTACACTGTGTTTTTGCTCTATGCACCAGTTCTTCTTTTATCGGTGTTTTCGCGTCAGCCACGTGTTAGACGAGATTATTCGCAGCGCAAACATCTGCGGAGATCATAGCTCGTGGACAGCTCATTGGCAGTTTGTTCCTTTATGGTTTCTAGACGTAGAATAACGTTTCTTTGCTATGACCGATATACTTTAAGTTTCAATCT